TAAGATTAATGCACTTCCTGTCCATCACAAGACATGCTGATAGAGTTGGAACTACTTTTTAATGTCTATGCAACGATTCACTCTATTATAGTGATCCATTATTTTTAGAATGCTAGCAATGCCATTTGACTTGCAAAACTTGTAAGGGCTCTTCTGAAACTAATTGTCTAAGTTGTGATACTACTTACAGACAATTGATTATATCAAGGTGTAATTGCTACCCTGGTTATTATAGCACAGGCCAGCTATAATGTCAATGTGATTATTAAATACTAACTATTAGAATGCCATTACACATGTCTCACATGCTACTCTGCTGATGAAGATGGCTGTACCTCTTGCTTATCAGCCAAAAATAGAGTTCTAAAAGCAACCAAATGTGTCTGTAAGGAGAACACAATGGAAGCCTCAAATACAGATGCTATGTGTTCAAGTAAAAATTTTATATCTAACTTAGACTGTTCATATCGTTGTTCATCTTGCAATATAGCAGCTGACCATTGCACAACATGTCCTGATTAATCATATCGTGAAATAGGAACTAATAACTCTTGTGCTTGTCCAGCCTACTATTATGACTAGCCTGATAACCCAATTTGCATAAGTATGAGAATAAATTGAAATTTAGAGTGCTATAATACTTGTTATGCTTGTAAAGGGTAAAAAAATACTGAATGTACTGCTTGTAATCCTCTCAGTAAAAGAGAATTAAACATGAATGGAGAATGTGTTTGCATGAGTAAATATTATGATACAGGAATACAAGAATGTTCAAGTATATGATGTTTACATAATAATAGTTTGCAGCACTGATTGTTTAGATTGCATTACTAGTCCTACTAATTGTACTTCTTGCAATCCTGAAAAATATTTACTTGGAAACAGTTGCTAATGCAAAACGAAGCTTTAGGGAAGTTTTCTCACTACCTATTTTGTTGAATCAAAAAATCAATGTCTAAGTAAGTCAATGAAAATAATGATTAGATTGTCATTATAGTTGTCTATCTTGCAGTGGTCCATTAGTAAATTAATGTTTATCTTGTTTGAACTCAGAATAAAGAACTTTGATTGGTACAAGTTGCATTTGTACAGCAAATTACTTTGATAATGGATTTCCTAATTGTAAATGTAATTTAATTGTGTAATTTATTAAGAATGTGATTTTCGATGTTATGAATGTACAACATTTTCTACTCTATGTACATCTTGCCCATAATCAACCTTAAGAACATATAATTCTTTAAACTCTTCTTGTGATTGCCCGAATACTTATTATGATGATGGAGTAAATCCTGTTTGTTAAAGTAATATATTAGAATAATTATAGAATGCGATTATTCTTGTTCAACTTGTAAGATAATGTCTAGTAGATGCGAATCTTGCTAGTTAAACACATATAGAGTTTACGACTCTTTATTATTTACTTGCCTTTGCGATACTCATTATTATGATTCAGGAATTCCGGTTTGTCAATAATGCCATTATTCTTGCTTACTTTGTAATACTTATGGGGCAGATTCGTGCATTAGTTGCTAACCATAAGCAATATCCTTTAGAGTATTAAATAGAAACGTTTGCGAATGTCTCCTTGGGTATTATGATGATGGATATTCTTTAAATTGTTAATAATGCTTTTATAAATGTTAAAACTGCATCAATTCTCCAACTTATATGTGACATTCTTGTAAGGAAACAAGACATTTAGATCAAAATCAATGTCTATGCAATACTGGTTATTTTGAAAATGGGTCAAAGCAATTGTAGTAAATGCAATTCAAACTGTTATAATTGCATTTTCAATTCCAAATAATGTACAGAATGTGAATCCAATTACAATTAAGGTAATTGAACACTAATACTAATACTTGTTAATGTTAAGCAGGCACAACTGAAATAGATGGATTGGGTCAACAATGCAATTAAAATTGTCAGACATGCTCAAACACCCCTACAAATTGTACATCATGCGGTGTAATGAAATTTCTAAGTAATTCAAAATGCGCATGTATTGACGGGACATATTTAGTGGATGCTGATAATCAGTGCTATTCTTGTGATTCTACCTGTGAAACTTGTTTTGGTAACGGTTCGTTTTGTTAGAGCTGTATATCAGATAAAAATAGAATTCTAGATAATGCAACACATACATGTATCTGCAAGGCTGGATATTACGAAGATACTGTTAACAAATCTTGCATTTAATGCTATTAAACGTGTTTAACTTGTTTTGGTATTTCTACGTATTGCACATAATGTGATTAAACCTTAAATTTAACACTTAATGATTAAAATAGATGTGTTTGCAAATCAGGTTTCTTCTTTAATCTTATTACTTAATAATGTGAAGGTATTGTTTAAATTAAATTTAAGCTTGCCATGTTAGTTGTTCTGAATGCTTAATATAAACTTAATGTTTGACTTGTGAATTAATCACGAGATACCTTGACAATGACACATCGTAATGTGTATGCAAAAATGGCTTTTATGAAGCTAATCAAAAATAATGTTTATGTATTATTAATGATCAATGTTATAGAATGCCACAGTTCATGTAAAACTTGTTAGGTTTAATCAAATTTAATGTCTAACTTGTGAGTTATCAAATTTTAGATTTTTGTAAATGAATACTTGCCCATGTATAGATGGGTACTATGATGTTGGAATTGAAATATGTTAAAAATGTAGTGACATCTGTAAAACTTGCTAAACCAATTCAACTAAATGTTACTCGTGTTATCCAAATCATCATCGTGTATTAAATCAAAATACTTGTACTTGCTCTCCTGGGTATTTTGATAATGGCTAATAATTATGTGAAAGTATTTATCTGATATTATATTAGAATGCTCAAATTCTTGTCAAACTTGTAAAAATTAGAGAGATTATTGTACTAGTTGTGATGTTAATTAAAGTAGATTAGATTAATCTATTATTCATAAATGTCCGTGTGTTTCTGATTTTTATTAGGATTCTAATGAAACTTGCTAAAGTATTTATCATTTTTATTATAGAATGCCATATTAAATGTTCTGGATGTGCATATGAAAGAGATAACTGTTTAAGCTGCAAATTTGTTTATGGTTCCAACAGATTAACGATTTCAAATTAATGTAATTGTAAAGATGGATATTATGATGACAATATCTAAATAATATGTAAGAAATGTAATAACCGATGCAAAACTTGTGAAAACGATTCCAATAATTGCCTTAGTTGCCTGGGTAATCTAAAAATAAATCCTCCAAATTGTTTCTGTATGAATGGTTATTTTGAAACTGATTAACTAAATTGTGAACGTATTTGTTTAATATAAATCAAGCTTGCGATATCAAATGCGATACTTGTAAAACTCAAGCCTCTAATTGTATAACATGCAGAGAAGGTCGTATAAATGAAAAATGTGATTGTGAAGAGGGATACTATGATGGTGAATAGCCTTTATGTCTAGGTAAATGTAGGATAAATATCTTAAGAGTGCGACTTTTAATGTTAAACATGCAGTAAATCAGCAAACAATTGTCTAACGTGTAAAGGAGATAGATCTTAAATTCCATTATGCAGATGTTAGGATGGATATTATGATGATTTCTAGAGTTTAAATTGCTTGAAATGTGGTTACACTTGTAAAACTTGCACTTTGGATAAATGTTTATCATGCAATGGCAATAGAATTTTATCAGATGAAATGAGTTGTGATCCTCCTCCAAATTCAGTTAGTTCTTTATTAACTCCTTGGTGTTCAAGTATAGTATTCTTAATATCAAAGATTGCGAAGTAGCTGTTCTGAAAATATATTTATCAGATGATCTGAAATCAATACTTGTCCTTTTTGATTTCCCCATAAACCCAAATTTCTTTTCAAGTTACCTTACTAGCAATGCTTGTTTTAATATCTTAAAATAGACGACTCTTTCGAAATTAGGAATGAATCCATAATGTAACATTGATCCGAATAATACAAAGCAGTTAATTTTGAATTTCGGGCACAATCCTACCATCACAGTAGGAGATTAGATTGAATTTTTGGAAAATTCTTTCGGTCACAATAATTGTAATGGCAAACTATAATATTTCATTTTTAATACACTTGAATAACCGTCGAACCCATTTGCTCCTTTAATCAAATATAACGTACCTACATACCTTTTGAATTCTTGTGAAGAGAACATCATTTTAATTTAATCAAAGCTATATGATGGTTTGAGAAGTTTTATTTCCGTATAATGGTCATTTATTGTAAAAGGGTAAAGTGGAAATGCTGATCTGAATAATTTTGTTTAAGAATTAACAAATTTTCAATAATTAGACCTAACCATTCCAGAAAAAACATTAACTCTCTCTTCAAATATTTCTTTATTTGTGGAGGTTGAAAACTTCGTTTCAAAAAAGAGTGTTTTTGAAATATCAATTCAAACACACAATGGATAATTTCCAACCATTTTTTAGAAATTCAAACAATCATATTATCCATTTGAATCCATAAAAATGGTTTTCACTATAAAAAAGAAAAGTTGCATGGAAAATTCACAAGTATCAAATAATAATTCTTAATATTAAATCAATTTTTATGAAGTTGACAGAAATGACTCTAGATCTAGACCTTCAAATTTCAAATTTGATTAATTAATTAGTTCTGACTTATTAGAACTTAACATTGAACGCTATTCTTTAACCGCGTACACAACATATACATTTCAATTAACGGTTTCAGATTCTTCAATTTAATATTATTCAGAACAAAATACAACTATTTCCATATTATCAGGGGGAATTCTTTGTCAATTTAATGGAACAAAGAGGCTACAAAATTATTAAAGTGCTACAAATATTTACATCCTATGCAAAGATCTTGATGTTCAATATGATTGGAATGAAGATCCTGAATTGAAAATACAAGTGAGTTGCTTAGAACTAACTTCACAAGGAGAATGCAAAGATTCTTAAAAGAGGAAATTACAATATAACTCTACTGAAACAAGTTAGAAATTTCCTAAAGCTACTTTTCAACCTTACACGATTTAATCTTGGAATGTAATTGCCACCAAAAACTCGCTGACCTACTCTTATACTATCAATATTGTATATCTGGATTATGATTTCAAAATCCTGGATATAGATTATAACAGTGGATATTTGGTAAGGCCTGTTAATAATTATGAAGATTTATATTTTACTTTTAATATACCATTTTAGGAGAGGTAATACCTATTATAATATTCAATTGCAATAATTTATGATTATCAATTAATTTCACTACTTTAACCCCAATACTTTGAATATTCCTTTTAATTATATGATTACTATTAATAATTTAATAAAGGAAACAAGTTCAATCTTAAATTTTTAGCTTAGTTTACGAATGATATCATTCCTAATCAGGAAGACTTAATTTTATTTTTAAATCAACCTCCAATCTGTAATTTAAAAATTCTGGAAGAGAATGTATATGCTATAGAACCTTGAAAATGGCAATTA